TATAACTATTAAGACTACTACTACTATTACTACTACTATTAATGATACGAAGCGATAGACGAATTTAAAATATTATTAATCACTTAAAAAGAATATTTCAAACTGGTCAAGTCAAATTTAACAGATCGGATATTTCCAATATTGATTATCTTAAGCAAAGCAAATATTTATTAAGAAAATGCTATAAAATTTACAGTTTAAATAAAATAAGCTGTTCATATTCGTTTTCCAATTATTAATAAGGATTAATTTTTTAATTAAGCTTGGAAATCGTTTTTGCAACCAGTTAACTGGCTCTAGCAATAAATACGACCAAAGCAATTATGGTAAGAATGTATAATCAAGATTTATAGGCAAATTATTTTTATTCTATCCCTCTTAAAAGGGATCTCTCCAAAATGATCCATTTTGATATTGTCCAAATAATAATAATAATAATAATAATGAGAAGAAGAAGAAGAAGAAGAAGAAGAAGAAGAAGAAGAAGAAGAAGAAGAAGAAGAAGAATACATTAATAATTCTACTTGTGGGTGGGGCTCTGTGTTTGACTGGAAAAGGTTCTGATAATAATGATTTAATGAAGGGATAACTGGTGCCTCATATCTTAATGAAATACAAAAGGCGACTCTCACGAGTACAGCTCACACCATACGAAGGGCTTTATATATGTAAAATGAATGGATGTGTTTTTAGCTCCTTTTATTTTTATTTTTTACACAAATGTACAGTGCAAAAATTTAATGATGCCATTTCTGATGCCTCTTGTTGTGACGTGAATGGAAATGAATATAAAACAGAAAACATAATAATAATAATAATAATAATAATAATAATAATAATGCCTGACGATTGCGTACAGCATGAAACAGCCTGTCGCTTGAGTGTTGACTTCAATGTTCACTTTTATATTTATATTTACATAGGCTCTATCTCTGATATTGAGCACTTTATCCCACAAATATAGCACACCTTAAAACTATATTTCTTCATATATATATATATATATATATATATATATATATATATATATATATATATATATATTACTAATAAATGTTATTTTTAGAGAATACCCATATTTTAGAAGAAGCTCCGTTTATAAGAAGATTAATAAAATATTCAGATGAAAATGAATACATATACTGTTTAATAAATAAAAAATTAGTCCACTAAAAACAATGTTTAACTACTACTACTACTACTACTACTAATAATAATAATAATAATAATGATAATATGTGTGTATGTGCATGGATGTGTGCGTATGTGAGAGAGAGAGAGAAAGAGAGAGAGAAAATTATAGATTTTAGGTATGTAATATTTATTATAGAGCAAAAGAGCTCTTGAGGCCACAACACTCACACAAATACATATATCACACACACACATATGTGTTTGTATGTATATCTGTATGGAATAAACAAAAATTAAAAGGTAAACAGTAAAAGGGCTCCATCTGGAAAGTAAAACCGTGTGGAATATATGATTTAAGTTATGCCCAATATATCGATTAAAGTTTGAAAGAAGCGCCAAATTGCAAAGAGCGAGTTTGGAAAAGTTGTAAATGACTGATTCCATCTCAGAGATGCTGAAGTCAGTGAATACACGGGAAGCTTTTCAAGATCTGTGTTGAATTGGAACTAAATACACATTGATAACTTTGGGCAGTGAATATATTAATACATGAAAATTATTCTAAGAACAAATCACACCTATATATATCTATATCTAGCACGAATTATCTTAAATTGTAGTCTGGATTAAATTTATTTTTCTTTGAAACTTACTCGAGACAATCGCCTTTGTGGATATTTAGGGATCTGTTCGAGTAATCCAAAGAACGTACCCACAATTCATATATATCTATTTCATTCATTAAAAACGAATAACAAGGTACTGCAGTTAAGTTTTTTTTAAACTTTTCTTGTCTTATATTTTCTACGCATAGATAAAAAATTTAAATCCCGTCGATTTTAATAAAACTTGTTTAAAAGAGGGATTGCTGCCTAATTACATACATACATACATACATACATATATATATACATATATATATATATATATATATATATATATATATATATGCATATCTACCTATATATATATGTATGAATATATATGTGTGTGCGTATACATACATACATATATATACATTTTTTCTGATTTATTTTGAAATTGTATGTCTGATGAATTGAATCAGAATTACGATTCCAATGTAATAAATTATAACCATGGAATATTAGTGTTTAAGCCTTTTTATTATATATATATATATATATATATATATATATATATATATATATATATATATATAAATTAATTGATTTAAAAATATGGTTTATTTTCGCTACACAGTTCAACCATGTTTCAAAAATAGAAGCTAAAAACCCTAATTTAATTTTGCAATTAAATTAAAAGCATTAGTTCCATTTCATCTTCAAGCGAATTTTGGAGTAACTTTTAAAAATTACCGGGTTTTAAAGACACAGCTAAAATCACGTTTCCATGGTTACAGAATATTCTACTCAAATTGAACAAGGGGTGTCTTTAAAACCCGGTAATTTTTAAAAAGTTACTCCAAAATTCGCTTGAAGATGAAATGGAACTAATGCTTTTAATTTAATTGCAAAATTAAATTAGGGTTTTTAGCTTCTATTTTTGAAACATGGTTGGAACTGTGTAGCGAAAATACCATATTTTAAATCAATTAATTTATAATATTAATGCTCTGTAAATTTACATTGAGCACTATTTTGTAAAATAAAAATATCTATAAGAACACCGGATTTTATATCTTACTGTTCTTTCTTTTTATTTATACACATACATATATATATATATATATATATATATATATATATATATATATATATATAAAAATGAGGATGTATTATTTGTCTGTTTTGTATATGCATTAATTTATATGAGTAGTAAATGTTATATCCACGAGAGAATTTGAAAAGCTTTCATCTCAAAATCTGACCAAATGAGTAAACATCATAAATTTTGGTTGGCACATGCACCTTGCTGCATCCGATTTACATCTATATGCTCATCTCTGTGCATATTGTATAGGGAAAGACATCCATAAGGAATACGGTGACTAGCAAATCTGTAATTCTACGGTCATACGAACACCTCTCAATTGGTGAATGAATACATAACTACATTTTTCGGCCACATCAAATCATTCATAAAATTATATATATGATTAAAACTTAGCTCAGTCATAAGTCAGCCTCATATATCATTTTTTACTAAATCTAATATAATGATCAATGTTTTTCGGGCTGGTATTTATTAATTCATTCTATTTATATGTGCCCACGAATGGATCATTAGAGAGCATATTTTAGCTATATTAACAGGTAAATATATTTAGATTTATGCATATTTACAAAACTAAAGCAGGACAACATATGTTAATTGTTATTCTACAGTTATGAAGCATTAAAGAAGAAGAATATTTGACAAAATTAACAAATGTTATTTAGAAAATGGCAGTTAAAATTCTTTAATCAAACATATTTATGCTCCATTTACAATCAAAACAGACACGCATATATATATATATATATATATATATATATATATATATATATATATATATATATATATATATCAGTATATATTTTAGTATATGCTCTATTTACTAGTAAAGAGTGCTCTCTCTCTTTTCTATATATATATATATATATATATATATATAAAAAAAGAAGATAAACCGCAAACGTTTTTGTTTTTGTAATGTGGATTTTAAAATAAAGCATAATATATTTAAAAAAATCCACATTACAACCAAAACGTTTGCAGATTCTCTTCTCTTTTTATTATACACACTTTTCTCTCTTCCTTTTACACACACACACACACACATATATATATATATATATATATATATATATATATATATATATATATATATATATATATATGAGCTGGATATATTATATATAAGTGGATATATAATAATATTTATTGTGTACTGTTAGACGTTTAGACTAAATAGAACCAATGATGAGAAAAGATGTTAAAAATCAGACTTTTTTGGACACCGTCTGTCTTAACGAAAAATACAATGAAATTTGATTTTTTTGGGTGGAACCTTTCTTCTTTATTTATCTATTGTTTAAATGATTCATTTTGGTAGGTTTCGCTTAGTTGTTTGTGACGGCTAGATATGCTGAGGGTTAGTAGATGTTTCCTTGTAGAAAAAGTAGTCAATGAGTATGCCTAAATTCCTATTAAAACCTAAAATATCTACGATTAATAATGTCTTTCATTTAAAAATATCTACTATTTTATATATATATATATATATATATATATATATATATATATATATATATATATATATATAAATGAGTAACCTACTTTAAATTTTAAGTATTGTGAACAAATTAATCAATCTATTTATCTACTTTCGAATTACTCAGTTTCCCGTGTTTATGTTTTAATCAATTCACTCAACGCAAAGCGATAATGACACTAAGGCACTCAGAGTGAAAAATACTTTAGAAGGAACTGGAAGCCCAATCCTAAACAGTCAAACACGGGATAAACCTCTATTCCTGTTCAAAAGATATATGTATATATCATGAAGAAATACGAAGTAGTTTGTTCATATTCATCGAGTGGTTTTCCATCACCTTTAACTTCTCACTTACAAATTTTGATGCGTGTCGATGAACGAATATGTTGCTTTGTTTTCATAGATGTTAATTTTCTAGATTTTACGTCTCAGTATGAAAGTTGATTTGTGACTGAATTAATTCACAAGTATCATTGTGTTTAGACTATGCTTTATAAGCTTTACAAGTTCAATACGTTGTGATACTTGTAAAATCAAGTAACTGGTAAATGTACCAACAGGAAAAAGATATACGTAGTCCTGTAAGCCGGTAATATTTCCTGAAGGGGTTGAAATACAATCTCTTGAAAGCCGATACTTAAATCTTAGAAGTCGCCTTTTTTTGGAGGAAATAAAGGTAAGAAAGGTTTTACATAAAAAGAAGGAACGAATAAGAAAGAAAGAGATGAAGCATACAAAAAGGAGGGTAAGGGAGAGGCAGATCGAATAATATATAGAAACTAGGAGAGAGAGAGAGAGAGAGAGGGAGAGAGAGAGGGAGAGAGAGAGGGAGAGAGAGAGAGGCTACGTATGCATGTGAGAGAGAGAGAGAAAGAGAGAGAGAGTGGGGGAGAAAACTAGGGGTAGGGCTAAACTGCTGCATTCTGGAATAACCTTGAGCGTTTAACCAATAAAGCATGAATTGTCCCTTTCCTCGCAGCCCCCAACACCTTATAACGAAGTGGAATGGCGACAAATCCAGACATACATGACACTTATTCGGATATTCAAGATGAAGGATTTGCAATATGCGTGTATCTTTAAGGTTTGTATGGCATTTCCTTCGAAGTAATAAATCGTTTGAGATGGCTTTCCCGATTTCTTAAGTGTTCAGTTTGTTCAATATATATTTTCTTTATACTAGCTCAACGTAGATGTTTATATTTATATATCGACCTACAGCTACACAGGAGGAATATATATATATATATATATATATCGATATATATATATATATATATATATATATATATATATATATATATATATATATTGAAATGTAAGGAGAACGAAAAGAATATAAATTCAAACGTTCATAGCATTAATTTAAAAGACGACTCAATACCAAGAGTAGAGCAACAGTTATTTATTATAAAGATGTTGCATACGGATAAACAAGTATTCACAACAAAGATGCATTTTTGTTTCGATGCGAATGCATCTCGGCAGGTGAGGAACAAAGATGGTTAACCAACTTTGTTTCTCACCTGTCGAACAAGAACAAAGATGATTGAAATGGATAAAATACGACATAATTTGTTTGCTTAAACGTTAATTTCGAATATGAGTATCCATCTAAAATAACATTTAAGCAAAAGATATATATATATACATATATATATATATATATATATATATATATATATATGTGTGTGTGTGCAAAGTACTTTCGACAATTTCACATTGTCATCTTCAGGGCTCAATTTTCCCATACATAGGCAAACACTAAGACGAAATATATGTAGACCGAAAGAGTTTTTTGTTTTTTTTAAATGATTCTATTTATTGGAAATTGAATATACGTATGTTTGTGTGTGTGTTTTGGAGCCTGCGATGCCGCGACATTAGAGTTCTTGTTCAAGTGAAAATTTTGTTTGAATTTTGAAAAATTATAAACCCACGAAATTTTCTTGTTATATGTATTTATCTGTTAAAGTGAAATGGAATTCTTATTTAGTAATTGGCATGTGTCTTCCATCTAACAACAACTCGAATATAAAGATCTTATTGTTCAAGAAATTGATAGTAAGTTAATGTGTCATTAAATCCTGTTAGCGAAGTGATTTCACCAATAATCACATTGACATTGCTATTTAACTCTTTGTATAAATTGTTTCTTTATGATATAGAATATAATCTGAACACTCTAATATATATATATATATATATATATATGTATATATATATGTATGTATGTATGTATGTATGTATGTATCAATGTACAATGAGAACGAATAGAGTACACTTCCAACGTTCGTAACATTTAATTTTAAACAGGGTTCAATACATAGTAGGGTAATATTATTTATTTTAGGATATTACGACAAAAACATGTAAGAATCACTACACAATTGCAGTCATGTTTCAACGCATTCAAATGTATAATCCTCAGACGATTGTAAATTACTGGCGAGTGAACGATTAATTTAGTTTCAAAAGCAAAATACATCCTCAGTTTTTGAAAAAAAACTTAGCCATGACACATTTCTAAGATAATAACTTCTAATTTTTTTTTCTTTTTCGAGTTTGAATTTTACATAGGTCATACTCGATTGGTTGCTCAGGTTAAAGCCCTCAAGCCTTATATTTTTTCAATATATATATATATATATATATATATATATATATATATGTGTGTGTGTGTGCACGCACGTGTGTGTGTGCGTTTGTGTCCTCAGTGTCAAATAAACACTGCAATGTTGTGTAATATATAACCTTCTTCATGATGGTGAATGTTGAACAATCTCTTTACAGATGAAACGCAACAGAGCTGCGTAGCTTGGTTTAAACTTTGATGCTTTAAAAAACAGGGTTCAAAATCCTGATATGTAACTGGAATCAAGCATGTACGACAAAACCACGTGATAAAAGAAGCAACTACCTCAACCAGGATACAGACTGAGACAAATAGGAGTGGGTAGATATTTGTATATAAATGGAAGAGAGATTAAATGGTTTTAACCCTAATCAATTTACTATTTCAAATAATGATGTCCATTGGCAAAATGGCGAAACCGTCGTTTTGTATTTCATGGTGGTGTCCACGTGAACATATGCCTGCATGTGTGAAAACGCGTACATGCATACATTCTGACGTCATATTGTTTAAACTGTCCTGTAATAGGTGCATATTTATTGAAGGTCAACTTATTTATTATATCGTGTTCGTTTTTGGAAAATACCGTTGTATTTAGGAAGTGAATTTGCTGGAGTCTGCAACATGTCTCAGATATGCTCAATGGGGTTTAAATCAGGCGAGCGTTGGAGGAATAGAGCTGCAGGAAGTCAGCTAATTTGCAGCTAAATCAGCGTGAGTCACAAACCAGTGATTCTTAACGTGAATGTTAAAATCGCCTTAGGGACTCTATAAATTCTCATTGCAACAGTAAGTGTTTAGGGACTTATCGTGGCTCTATAATTGTAACATGTGAGTAAGACGATTTAACTCTTTGAACCCTGATTCGAACAAGTCATATTTCATATAAGTATTTATCTTTTGTAATTTATACTTGCATTTTTAGACGTATTTTAAAAATTTAGCTGCAATTGTAAAATGTGTATGAAGCAAAATACAGTAAGCTAATGAGTAACTTCTTTTTCATGATTTGACTAGGTGAGTGCCGATTGACTGTTCTCGAGGTGATTAGTGTTGTAATAATGCAACATAAAGTAAACACGTGTTATTTACACTGTTGTATTAACACTACTCCATTTATCAGTGAAATTTTATCATAGGAGCGTCAAACTTCAACATTATCTGAAAAGTGGGGCTTTAGAATAAAGTGTTAAGAACCACTGTGATAGACGTAAAAAGGTTTCCAAATCAACATGCAAAAAACCAGTAAACATAATATCAACTAGACATAAACACGCACGCACGCATGCGCATGCGCACGCACGCATGCGCATGCGCACGCACTTCTACGAATATACATTATCTTTTGATGCCCACATAAACAAAATAGAATTTTTGTGAAATTACATACATATAGTAATATTTACGGTTTTTCAGATATGCTTGTAATCCAATAATTTCTGGAAACTTCAGATGGACGCGTCATCTCTCCTTGAATTCCGAACGCCACGAATTATATTAACGTTGGCTTAAAAAACTCGAATGTTCGTGTTACATTAAACAACACAAAAGTAAAAGTATCAGAATTTCTTTCTTCTTTTGCTATATCTGACGAAATTTTAATATAAGTGAAACATGTTAGACTGATAAACGTTTCTTATTTGTTCCTTATCTTATCATATATATATATATATATATATATATGTGTGTGTGTGTGTGTGTGTGTGTGTGTGTGTGTGTGTGTGTGTATGTATCACATTAGAGAAGGGAAGAAGGCAAATAGAAATTACTAATATTACTTTCAGGACGTAAGCGGTAATGGCTATCCAAAATTTACTCTCATTTTTACTTTAATTTTGGACACTTCGGCAAGCTCCACCGCGGTAGATTTTTCTCGTGGATATCTCAGTTATCTCCTTTTAACTCAACTCTCCAAGTTTCTGTTCACCACTGCAGTAGTCAGGTATTGAACTCATAACTCTTTAGGTCAAATCACTTAAACCACACAGCTGAAACAAAATGGCGCCGTACGTCACGTCACGTCTTGTCACGCGAGACTAATTATGTAATCACGCAGGCTGTGGATCTCACTCTATTAATCCTGATTCCATTTAGAAGATTTAAAAATTATTTTGTTATTTTGCGCATGGCCCATTATTTTATTTGCCCAGCAATGTATGTTAAAGTGTATCAAATGTATTTGCGTTTGTTTCACAGAACTTTATGAGTTATCTATCTAATCTTAAACTTACCGGATCCTACTTTCAGAATATTTTGATTATCACCAATACCCTGAAAATTCTTTAGGGTTGAGAATTTTCAAATGCTGATTGTCGTTATGTTTTCTAACTTTCGTTTTAAGGAGATAGAATCGACATATATATGTATGTTTATTTTGAGGTGCAAGTCACCAGCCATAAAACAATGAAATGTGTTTTATGGCTGGGCGCTTATATACTTTTTCATTTCCAACCACTTCCCAAATACTGCTGGTTCATTTTAAAATAATACAAAATATTACTAGAATTTAAATATTTGTATTCGTCGCAATGACATATGTGACAACAAGTAAGGCCAATATTAATAATAATGATATGAAATATATTACAATAATAACAAGGTGGAGTCATATATTGTCTTTAACTATGTATATGAAATAAGATTTGGTGTATGGGTGTAGAAAAACAAATACGTTTGACATATATATACACAAATATATATATATATATATATATATATATATATATATATATATATATATATATATATATATATAGAGAGAGAGAGAAAAATAGGTAGAGAGAGAGAGTGTGTGTGTGTGTAAAAGTATAACCACTAAAATCTGCATTATACTATTACGCACTGTCTCTATACACACACATACATACATATATTTACACATATAATATAAAATATATATTGATTGTACATATTCCTGTATTTATTCTTAATATATAGATTAATCGCTCTCTCTTGACGTCTATCTTTCTTCTCTTTTCGCCCTGTATATATATATTTTATTACATAAAATAAATAGGCCACACTTGTCTATATTATTTAATGAAACGTGCATGAATATATATATATATATATATATATATATATATATATATATATATATATATATATATATCGTTCACCGGGGGTAGATTCTTCTAGTTCTACGTGTCATGCCTCTCCTGGATATCGCAGTTATCTCCTTTTAAGTCAACTCTCCAAGTTTTTTTTTACCACTGCAGTAGCCAGGTATTGAACTCACAACTATTTGGGTTAAGTCACTGGATCCAATCAATGCTTTTATTTACTGTCACATGCGTCCGGAGGACGAAAATAAAGGGTTCGGTTCGAAATTCCAAACACCTGATGAAGGTTGGAATGGACAATGGCCGAAATGCCGTGTATATGCCAACAAAGATGGCAACAGTTCGAAGAATGTAAACAGGGTAAATAATTACAATACTTCATCTCAAAAATACTGAAAGACAATTAAAGCATTACTTTAGTCCGATGAATTACTTCTAGAAAAGGAAACGTGTTACACAGAATTTTTTCCATTTGCAATGTTTATCCTGAGAAAGAGAGCAAGTAAGACTGAAAGAGAAAAATAAAGAGGGAGAGAGAATGAGTGTGTGTGCGTGAGAGAGAGAGAGAGAGAGAGAGAGAGAGAGAGAGAGAGATAAAGAGAGATAAAGAGAGATAGCGAGAGTTTAGGTTGCTCCACAAGTGTTAATTCTTAGTCAATGGCACTGTTTCTATTTGTATTTCGGTATCCAAAACATCATCTTACCTGTGTTTAATTTGTAACGCCTGACCCTTTTAATGAGCGGAAATTGGGAACAGGTGTTCTTTGACTCACCTTATTTTCGGCAACACACACAATTGACAGGTGAAAAGTTAACTGATACCGTTGAAAAATAAAATGAAAAAAAAAAAATTAAACAACCTCCCCTCCCTCAAATACAACAAACAGACATTGTATCAATATTTTTTGATATTTATAATCAATATTCTTTAGATTTAAAAAACATTTTTGAAGCGTTTCCTATTCACAGTCTGCAAAAGAATCTATTTTATGTAGCATTTACATTGCTCTTACAATTTCAGCTTTATACATTGTATTTACCGATTTAGACCTTTATATACAGCAATTTATTTCACTTTATTTCCCAGCAATAAAAAAAGCACTTTTATTGGCTTGTGTCCTGAGTCTTTAACTCTATTGCTACAATAATATCTAGTGTTCCATGGAACGAAAGCCTTGTGTCGTCAGAATTGTGTGTTAAGCATTATTCTTTCATTTAGTTATTCCCCTCCCCACCACGCCTAATAAACCATGTCTGTATTCATGGAAAAAGAATTTTGTTAATTTAAGCAAACATAGTTCAGTAAAACGGTACGGTGGAGTAATGGATAGCGGCTTGGATTAAAAAATCGTGAAGCCGAGTTCGAATTCGAGTTGGAATCCATTACATTCATTTACGTGCAAATAACCTTGGAAAAGGTATGTATCCTCTTCTTCTCCCCCCAACTTTAAATAGCAGGACAGCAGGGTTCTACAACCTTGAATAGCAACTGGTCAATATTAATAAGGATTTGAAAATTTGCGGGGGAAAAATCTGCCTCGTCAGTCATGTATCGAAAGATACATGATCGCCTAAGCGTGTATTATGCATTGCATATAACTGGCTGAAGACGTTTTATGACATTTTCTCCAGAAATAATACTTATCCTTGTTCAATAAAAATTCATGTGACATCTTGAAAAGTCACTGCGTAATTAGAAAATAATTCGGTTAAAACAAAACAAAGGAAAGATCTTGCTATTAAATTATTTTCTTCACTGCATATATTTTCTTCTATGTCTTAAAAAATGTATTATCATAGTGATTTTAATGGTGAGCTTAGCCGTTTCTATATAGGAAACATTCGGTATTTATTCACTGAAAACTTAGCTTAACTGTCAGTTGAAATTTATAATTTTTTTTCTTAAATCAGCTTTTCAAGAAATCAGACATCTCAATTTCATTAAATGTTATGTCTCATTTTAGTATTGATGGAAGTGTCCTTCCAAACTTGTTTAAGTATTTACCCTATTTACATTGTTCAGACTATTGTTCTCATCTTTATTGTCATATTCACGACGTTTCGACTGAAGAAGTTCAGAGTGTACAACGGTCGAAACGTCATGAATACGACAATAAAGATAAGGAAAATAGTCCGAACAATGTAAATAGTGTAAATAGTTACAATACCTCATAGACAGATTTCTATTTAAGCTATTTTGGAAAGTCAATATCGTTATTTTTCCTTCAAGTTTCAAGTTCTCCTCATTTTCCTTGTTGTTGCCGGGCATTTTTAATATATTTGGTTATTCGGTAAGAAAACTTTGCATGTGATTTTGTAACGCCATCCTGATGAAGGATTGTCTTTTTTAAGACTAAAGAGATTCATCTCCTGGAATCATTGATTTCGGAAAACGCTTCCATATATAGATGGTAGTCGTTATTACTTTAAACTTTATTTTTAGTGGATAGCCATATTTGAGTAGCTCCGTTTTTAAACGGTATTTTATTCCGTCTACCTGTCTAAAAATTAGATTAAAGAAAAGCATCCTCAGTCTGGATTTGAACTTGCATCCCCCGTTGTAGGAGAAACCGTCATTTGATCCGATGTACTTTGGCTACTCCGCTCTGAGGAGTTTTGTAATCAAGTAAGGTTCTATTTTATCCTAAAGCACATTTTAATCGTCAAGATTTCTTCGTAACTGCTCAGTTTCGTATCCGGAACGTAAACAAAGCAATTTCTAAAGAATCAACGAATTATATTTATTAAGTCGTATACTAAGAAACCTGGACGTGTAAAATGTGCTTCATAGTAAAATCGAACCATGCTTGATTACGACGCTCTTTGAAGCCATCAGTTCTTAAGAGCATCTATGCTGAAGACACAACTATTTACTCTTGTCTTAATGGTAAATTTCATAGGTTCGATGAGATCAAATTTTCAGCTGATCTAAAAAAAAAAAAAATGATATGCAACTTGTTGTTTACTAGGTCAAAAATAGCTTCTTAATTTTAACCTCTCCAAAACGAAATTGCTCTCTTTCAATCGTCTGAGAGAACCCTTTTTGCCTTCCACTAGCAGGCTCATTGCGTCTTCCACGGATAACATTTTACGCTGACATGAAGTGGAAACATTATATTAAAGGAATTGCTAGGTCTGCCGCTGCGGTATTTTGTTCATTGTATCGTGCTAGACAGTTTTTCCAATCAGAATCTACCTTATATATTTATAAGTCGGCCATTCGTCCATGCTTTGAATATTGTTGTTATATCTGGTTTTGTGCTTCTTGACAAAATCTAAAGAATTTGCAAAGTTATCAGTCATGACCTGGCATCTCGTCTTCAGCCATTTTCCCACTAACGTAAAGTAGCTTCTTTGTGCTTTTTTCCGGTTCCTGTACTTTTAATATTCTCTCTCCTTATTTGTTCTCATATTCTCTCATAGTCAGTAACTCCTTGAGTCTTAGTGGCTTTACTGCCTTGCTTGGCGTAAAATGAGTAAAAAAGGCAATTATTTGGGAAAAACTCACACACCAACATTCATTGATCATCTAACGAGAAAGAATTCTACAAGGAATGCCTTTGGGAGATATATACACTATAAACAGGTTTTTGTGACGTGCTATTCCAGTCATTTGTTTAACATGGATGATCAACAATATTCCGCTCTGAGAACAGACGTTAAATGGAAATTAGAGCTTCGATGATAAGCGTGACTAATTCTCAGTTTCATTAGTTCGATACTCTCTGAAAGTTTTCCATATGTCATTTTGTGTTAAATAAAAAGAAAATATAATAATATATAATAAAATATGTTTACTTAAAAAATAGAAATTTATTATTCGAACGGATGCTGTTTATATTAAAAACATTCAAGTGAATCATACGAGACGTTTACAGAGAAATAAGTATGTTAAATAAAAAATAATATTGTAACACCCTTTTCGGTCCACTAATCGAGAAAGTTATGAATAAAATCTAGCGAGGTGTAATCCACTCATCGAAACGAATATAGCCTTCAACTAAATAAGTAAATAAATAAAAGGAAGTTATTTTTTTTAAATTATAAATATACTTTGAACTGATTTTCGTAAAATGAAAGGCCTGACGATTCCCAGCTGTTCAGTAATATACGAAACATCAAGAAATGAAAGGAATCCCAATTGGAGACACAAGATTCGCTTATAACACCAGAGATACAGTATCATGCATTTTTATAATAATATTTATTTAACGTTTGATATAATATTATTAATAAATATTCCAGTAAAAATTTTATGCGATTTTTCTAACTTCACTAGAGCGCGTTCAAGCTTCAAAATATTTTAAATCTCCAGGTGCTTCTAATATATATATATATATATATATGTGTGTGTGTGTGTGTGTGTGTGTGTGTGTGTATGTTTGTATGCATGTGTGTGTGTTTGTTTTGAAAAATATATGATAAAGTGGAAAATGTTTTCTCCATAACATTCAAAAGAAGTATTTATAACGTTTCAACTTTGACGACATATGATATAAACAAGTTTCAATACATGCATGCTGGCGTTCGTCAGTAAACACGCATAAAAATACTCTCTCTATCTCTTTCTCTCTCTCTCACACACAGACACACGTGTGTTTGTGGGTGTGTGCGTGTGTGTTTGTGAATGTTCCTAGATAGACCAATATGCCCGGAAAATATTTTAAATAAATTTATTTTTCAATATAATTATCTTTCTTGTCACTTCTCTATTAATTTCATAGGTGGAAAATTATACAATGAATCATTCACATAAATATTCAGCTGACAGCTGTGTGAAGCAAGACATTTATTGCAAAAGATATCAGGATCCACCCTACATATATATATATATATATATACATATATATATATATATATTTATATATATATATATATAGATATATAGATATATAGATATATATATATATATATATTGTGTGTGTGTGTGTTGAGGAAAAATGTATTATAAAGTGGAAAAAATTTTATGTGACGCGTTTCGTTCTTTTCGTCCATTGGACTAGATTTGTTATGTTGGTGCGACTACACATGCGTACGAACAAAGGATGTTGGGAATTCTTAATTTTATTTATTTATTTTTTTTAATGAAAACATTTTTTTTACAACAAATCTTTTTAAAGAAGTGTTAGACGAAAAACCTTCCTTTTAAAAGAATGCACTCCGTCATTTTTAAAAAACATATATAAATAATGGGGCATAAAATCTTTGTTCACACACACCGACAGACACACACACACACACACACCGACAGACACACACACACACCGACAGACACACACACACACCGACAGACAGACAGACACACACACACACACCGACAGACAGACAGACACACACACACACACCGACAGACACCCCGACAGACACACACACACCCCGACAGACACACACACACCGACACACACACCGACACACACACACACACACACACACACACACACACACACACACACACACACACACACACACAGAGTTGGCTCAAACCTGATGGCACAAAAAGCGACGGCTTCCGAACAGTTTCCTCGATACATTTTCATTCTTTAACATTGGTCAATCGGTGACATGTTTTTTTCTCGTTCACTTCTCGCTGATTCTGATGTTCTTTCATATATGGTACCCTCTCTTGCTTGAGGATTGCAAATCGCAAGAAACTGATCGTTGTAGATGGGGAAGTGTTGAGAACCGTTTGTTACTATATTAACATATAAGTTTTTGTATTTCCTTTCACTTTTTACATCTATCTCTTTTATTACGCTTCTGCTATCTTGCGCATTTATTAAATGTAAATGCGTACTGTTTTTTTCTTCAACAGTGAAATTAAAAACAGTAGGAAAAGACCTACTAATCGAACCCGTACTCTTTTTTTTCTGTCAGGGAAATTGCTCCTATAGGCAAAATGTACCGCAACCAATTTTGTCATGGGAGACTATTTTGATAGTGTAAGCCCGTGGCCAAGTCATGGTTTTCTTCCGTTGCTTAGTTATCATCAAAAACTAGATGATGTCTGTATGACAGACACAATTTCGTTGCCTACGTCATGGTATTTCGTCCTTCATCAAACTGCAACCCAATCAACAAGCATTATTGTTTCATTCCGTCACCTTTTTGCTGCAAGTATATTTTTTCTCAAACAAATGGAAAAAAGGAAGTGATGTTTCACATACGGCTTGTCGACATGCAGGATTTTTCATAACGATTTTTCGTTCTCATACGTCGAGGTGCAATTGAAATGCACCGAAACGAAATTGCATCTTTGTACTTTTTGTCTATATGATAAAATTATAATAAATAATTATCGCTCTACTATCGGTATCGAGCCCTCTTTTGGATTAATTCTGTGAAGGTTAGAATTTATATATTATTTTCGTTCTCATTCCATCAAATATATATATAAATATATATATATATATATATATATATATATGTAAAAAGAAAGAACAGTAAGATATATAATACGGTGTTCTTATAGATATTTTTATTTTTACAAAATAGTGCTCAATGTAAATTTACAGAGCATTAATATTATAAATTAATTGATTTAAAATATTTTTTTTCGCTACACATTTCTAACCATGTTTCAAAAATGGAAGTTAAAAGCTCCGAATTTAATTTTAAAAATTTAATTTAATTTTAAAAGTTACTCCAAAATTCGCTTGAGGATGAAATGGAACTAATGTCTTTAATTTAATTACAAAATTAAATTCGGGGCTTTTAGCTTCCATTTTTGAAACATGGTTAGAACTGTGTAGCGGAAAAACATTATTTTAAATCAATTAATTTATAATACATATATATATATATATATATATATATATATATGTGTGTGTGTGTGTGTGTGTGTGTGTGTGTGTATTGGAGTCTCTCGTCGTTTTCGACATTTGAGTGTCTTTCTGTTCGGTTTTATGTTTATCTTTCGTATGAGACAACAATCTGCACGGGATTTAAAAACAAGTCCACACGAGGGACATGCTAAAGGGTTGACTGTCATATGGACTGATGTATTAGCCCGAGGTTTAGTGTTGGTTCTTAATTCTCTCAGATGGTCGAGACGATTATTTTCAAAGTTAGTTATACCTCGGTAGCATGTGTTTATTTATTAGGTTGGTGCAAAAACAATGACGTAATAATGTCGTCTTTTGACGTACTTCTCTACGTCAAAAAACGACATTCTTACGTCATTGTTTTTGCACCAACCTAATAGTAGGTGTTACTCGGTTTTCAACAGAAAATTCGAACTCTTCTATAGGCATGTTTGCAGTATTTAAATTTAAGTATATATATATATGCTTGTGGGGCACATCCGTGTGGTGTAATGGCTAGCAAGATTGTTTCGCTAGAACAATTACGACTGAGGACTTTTCCCTCAGCTATGGGTTAATTATTATCTCAAAGAAATATATTCTTACAAGCTAAAAGTATTTTCCGGCTTTGAATAAACTGGAATATGGTTGATAAGCCGTAGAAAACGAATCAATCAATCAAAAAAGAAAAGAAAAAACTATTTGTCAGGTTCTTTATTGTTTATTTGATTTAATTTCGCTGTTAGCTTTTATGAACTTTTGTCAGAGTAATATTGTGATGGCAAGGGTAAGGTGTGTATATAAACGGAGAAAGTAATCTTTCAGTTTAACAGCTGTTTGGGAGGGGTAGTAAAATTAAGTCATTAAAAAGATGAATTAAGTCATAAAATAGAGAAAATAAAACAAAGATATTATAGATAGAATGTATGAATAACAATCGAGTTATTATACAGAAGCAATTAATAAAACATATCAATGTTGAAGGAAGAAAAGCTTGGGGAGGTAGAAATTAAACAAAAATGTAAAGAGAAAACATTAACATACATCTTTATACAAAGATAAATTTTTGCTAGGATTATGAAAGTGAAGAAAAAATAAAAAGGAAGAAAAATTATAAATTGAATATCAAGGGAACATAACAGGAAAAGAAAGAAAGAAAGAAAGAAAGAAAGAATGAAAGAAAGAAAGAAAGAAAAAGAAAGAAAGATAGAAAGAAGAGATAGAGACGATTCAGGTAAAGAAAGATGAACATTATATAGCACCAAAAGAAAGAAAGAAAGAAAGAAAGAAAGAAAGAAAGAAACATTAGGAAGAGTGGATGTCAAAAATTAAAATAAAGCTAAGAAAGAAACGTGAGAAAAAAGAAAGAAAGAAAGAAAGAAGCTGGAAAATGTTCATGTAAAGAAAGAAGAACGTTATAGAGGAGCAATGTGAAGAAAGAAAGAAAGAAAGAAAGAAAGAAAGAAAGAAAGAAAGAAAGAAAGAAAGAAAGAAAGAAAATTAGGGAGAGAGCGTCTGAATAGGCTTGATAGGATAGACATGCGGAGAAAGAAAGAAAGAAAGAAAGAAAGAAAGAAAGAAAGAAAGAAGAGCGAGAAAAGGTTCATTTCAAGAAAGAAGGAAAAGAAGGATACAATGGAGCAGCCATGTGAAGAAAAAAAGGAAGATTAGGAGGGGTTGATGTGAAAAATCAAAAAAATGCTTGATAGGATAAAGATATGAGACGGAATAAAAAAAAAAGAAAAAAAGAATGAAAAAAGAAAGAGAAATTATGATGACTTCATATGAAAAATGAAAAAAGCTTAATAGAATCACATGCAAAGAAAGAAAGAAAGAAAGAAAGAAAGAAAGAAAGAAAGAAAAAAAAGAAAGAAAGAAAGAACATAATTTAAGTCACATAAAGTATTAGACAAATAGCGCAGAGAAAATAGAAAAAAGAACTCGACCTCGAAGCTGCTAATCTCAAGAAAGCGAGGTTAATAGTAAATGAGGATTAAAAAAAAACAAAATCAAGATAACGAAAGTAAATGGAAAATGGATGATGATGAACGTAGGTATGTAGAAATGGTAGGGCGCAGTAAAGAAAAGAAAAAAAGCAAAAAATAACATAAAAAAGAAACAAGAAATAAATAAGGCAAAATAAAGAAGCGAAAGACGAGTGTTAACCCGAGACAGACATCAGATAGTCAACTAATTGTTTCATCTGTCATCAGAGACTTGTTTAAACGAAACTGATGCTTACTCTTCTAAAAATTGAGAGCCCATTTTGTTCCTTTGAAAGCAAAGTTCATTCAGTTATTTATCAAATAAGCTTGACAACTCATTATCCTTCATCGCTTTTGAAACAAAACCGTATTAACCTTCTATCAACTTGTCAATATTTATCTTGCAAGCATGTTTTATTGTAACAATATCGCAGCGTGTAAAAATGAACGTCTTGTACGCTAACGAACCGCCGGCAGAATAATTTGAAGTGCAACTGAATTGTCTATAACGAAGATTTAATGTACTCGAGAACAAAAAAAAAAGCCTCTCTCAATGCAAAAGTTTTAAGAGGATGCTCATTCAGTGTTATATACAAGTAGCTGAGAAAAGAACTCGGTCCCACCAGTAACGGATTCAAAAATTTTGTCATATCTTGTCTGGTGTTCCTACTGTGTATCTAGAGATTCATGACAAAATCCAGAGAATCGTCTGCAATGCAATCGATCCAGGTATCTCATCCCTCATTCACTTTCTTACCGACGTGACGTGGCTTCCTTCTGTATATTCTACAAATATTTTCATAGTAACTGCTCAGATGAGCTATTTTACTTGGAGCCCCGGATGTATGAATTTAAGCATAGTACTGGATTGGCAACAAGAGGTCATGGTTTCACTGTTGGACTAGCTACATGCAACTGTCATTTATACTCTAACAGTTTTATTTTTTCGCACTTCCCAACTGTGGATTTCTTGCTTCACTGATAACTACAATCTTCAAAGATTTAAATGCAACGTCAATCACCATCATCTGCCTTTTTGAATCCTGTTTCTTTTTGCTCTTTCCTCAATCCTCCCCATTTTTAATCTTCTCATTCTCATTCTCCTTCATTTCTTGTACCCACCCCCCTGCATTCTAATGGCATGCGTGAAATTAAAAGAATTATGATGCTTGGTCATTTAATTAGATTTTGGGAAGTGGGTCGGGCCAAGAACTATGCAACATACCCGCATATATATCAGACATTTTTGTGAAGAGCATCTCTCCTCTCTCCTTCTCTCCATCTCTCTCTGTCACATACACACGCTATCTATCTATCTATCTATCTATCTATCTATCTATCTATCTATCTATCTATCTATCTATACACATGTGTGTGTGTTTGTTTCCATGTGCGTGTGCACCAGTGTGAGTGTCTGTATAAGCTGTCACATATGAGCATAAATTTTCCTATCTCTCAGTCTCTTCGTATCAATCTTAGTTTGCATCTATCTATCTATCTATCTATCTATCTATCTATCTATCTATCTATCTATCTATCTATCTATCTATCTATCTATCTCTTCGTATCTATCTTAGTCTGCATCTATCTATCTATCTATCTATCTATCTATCTATCTATCTATCTATCTATCTATCTTAGTCTGCATCTATCTATCTATCTATCTATCTATCTATCTATCTATCTATCTATCTCACATACGAAAGAAAAATGAAAAGCTCTTGACCTGACCCCTAAAAGGGGGGTTTGGTTCAATTTTGGGAAGTGGGTCGAGTCGAGATCTTTGCAGCATACATTTTTATATATCAAACAATTTTGTGTATATCATTTATTCTCTCTGTCTTTCTCACTCCATCTATCTATGTATTATACGAAAAAAAATCTTGACGTGACCCAAAAAAGGGGCCCCTAAAATAAATTCTAATGTTTGGTCATTTAGTCAGATTTTGGGAAATGAGACGCATTAAGAACTTTTTAATACCTACTCGTATCTATATACAAAATCATTCTGTGAATTGATTTAAAAACATCCCAGTTTTCTTGAAATAACGTTTTTCTTTAAGGAAATCATAGAATTGGATTCTAAGTATATGCTATAGAAACATAATCAGCAAGTAATATGTTGAAAACATTGCTGGTAAATTAATGTTACAAATTGTAATAAGATGTCAGTGTTTTCAGGATACATGACCAAACTTGGTATGATTATAAACAAGACGAAAATAGGGCAAAAAGAGAATGAATAAATCCAGCTTCATATGTTTCAGTTTTGTTTTTGAAAGCCATACAAATTGCCAAGGGAGTATACTGTAATAGCGGTGTCGATAGAAAAACCGTCTTTTGATACACCATTTTTTTTTTCAGATACGTTTGTTAAACTTTGTCATTCATCTTCATTTTGCTGTTTCATTTATCATGTCATTTGTCTTGATCAATTCTCGAATCCATGCCGTCCTCATACTATAGCTTTTTGTTATCACTAGCAATGTCTTCCTATTCATCTTTCCTTTATAAGTTTTCTTTCGTACGATTTTGCTAATTTCTATGTATCACACCTAAAATACATAGCAGATCTGAAACATTTATTATACAATCTACGTTTTAAGCGGATTGCTACTATGCTTTTTCTTAGGCTTTTATTTTTATTGAAAATCTTTCCAGCTGTACAGCGTTTTATTTCATTTTCATAGTACTTTATTAAAGACATTCTAGCCAATCGTTTTAAACTGTTTTATTTTATTTTCATAGCGATGTATTAGGTTTTCCAATCAATCGTTGAACAAAGTCTTATTTAATTTTCATAGTTCTTTAATAAAAGGATTTACAGCTGATCATCCTATTCCGTTTTATTTCATTTTCAAGGTATTTTATTAAAAGGTCTTCCAGTCAAGTGTTGTACGGCATTATATTTCATTTTCATGGTGTTTTATTAAAGGCTTTCCAACCAATCGTTGTGCACCGTTTTATTTCATTTTTATATAAAAAAGACTTTCCAACCAATCGTTGTAAGCTGTTTTAATTTATTTTCATAGTTTTTTTTTTATTAAAAGACTTTCCAGCCAATTCTTATAAATCATTTTATTTAATTTTCATAGGTCTTTCTTTTTATTGAAATCTTTTCCGGCCACAGATTTTTTTTCATTTTTATAGTGTTTTTACTTAAAAACTTTGCAGCAAATCATTTTAAACCGTTTTATTTCTTTTCTACCGTGTTTGTAGCCAATAGTTGTACGCCATTTTATTTCATTTTTCCTGTCTTTTTTAACCTGCCATAATTAGTTGTATTCCTGGTTTTATTTAAATTCTTCATTCACTACACTTGCCATCGTTTTCTGATCATACTGCTGAACAATACTCTCCCTATTCGATATCGTTTAGCATTTCTCCTTTATCATACGCACATTGTGATAGTATCAAAATGTCTGCAAATCATAAGTGGTTCACATATTCTCCGTTTATTTTGTTTACTCTAATTCTTTCCTCATTGATTTTCTGGAAGATTTCAAGAAATGTTGTTAATACTTAGTTGTAAGTAGTATCCATTGCCTCTTCATTATATTGTCCTTATATTATCTGTTTGATTATGTAGTCGAAAATTGCAGCAAATTTATCGTATAAATCCTTTTATATAATATAGCTTTAACATCCTGCTTTTGTAATAAGTTAAAGACTGCCGAGTGTTCTACATAGTAAAATGCCTTTTCAGTGTTAACAAATTATTTTTTCAAAATCAGTTGAGTTTTTATCAGTTGTTTATAGATGAGCTACTATTGAGAATCCCTTCTCGAAACCTACTTTATCTATCTATCTATCTATCTATCTATCTATCTATCTATCTATCTATCTATCTATCTCTCTATATATATATATATATATATATATATATATATATATATATATATATATATATATATATAATCTAATGAAGAAATATAAATATATATATACATGAAGTGTTCACATAGAAATACATACATATAACATTTGGTGTAAGAAAAACAGTACTCAATGCTAAATAACAGACCCATTAAATATATATTAATAAAAATACATAATACTCAACGTCGACTGTACGACTCGGAGTTTCATGCCTAATGCAATCTTCAGGTATTGGTGGTTGTTTACAGTTTCGTTAATATTTCTAGGTCCCGCTAATATTTCTGGGTCTCGCTATTTTCTGGGTCTCGCTAATATTTCTGGGTCTCGCTAATATTTCTGGGTCTCGTGAGATCTAGAAATATTAACCAAACTGTAAACAATGACCAGTATCTGAAGACTGCATTAGGCATGAAACTCCGAGTCGTAATGTCGGTGTGGGATA